ACCTTGTAGCAACAGGCCTTATGAGTTGGAGTTTACAGTGCTCTTCAATTACTTCAGATGCAGTGATTGATCTTGAACTTTTGGTCCAAAGGCTAGAGCATTTGGCAAATGTGGACCTTGACACACGCTTGTACAATGGGTTGACCTCTGCTTTTGAAGCATCAACTGTGGACACCAAATTGAGGAGGTGGCATGCGCAGCGATGGTGTTTGGGTAGCTGGTATTCCAAGTAGTCATCTTTGTCCAACAGGGCTCCGGCATCAACAAATTCAACACCCTCAACGCTTTCCTCTTCTTCATCGTAATCATCATTTTGGCCACCATCATCCTCTTCTCCATCACCCTCTCCGACAGATGCAGGATTGTCGTTCTTCTCGTCCATCTGCCCATAAACTCTGAAGGCTTTCAGGAAGTTAGATCCGTTGTCAGTTGTAGTGCGAACGATCTTCTCTCTGACATTGAATTCTGTGTGAATATCATTTAGGGCACCAGCCAGGGCAGAAAAGGTATGGGACCACAAACTCAGACTTTCTAGGACTTTCTCTGTATTAAATGTCATGCTTGTAGCAGTATTACTAGTCTATTATATAGACTCTATATAATTATGTTGTTTTAGGACCGCAAGCAGCTGCTAGCATGACTGAAAAGTAGCATTAAATTCATTTAAACAGTATTTGGCTCATAGTAGCAGTTGGGTCTATTACCTCTACGATAGGGCCTACCACACACAGGCGCGCGTGCTAACATACACAGCCAGGATCCTGACTATCTTTACTACATGCTAGCAGCTAGTACATCCCTATCAACCAGCTGTCGACTATATATCTTTGCACAATTAACTTACATATAAACTCAGATTTGGCTAAAGTCGAATTTAAAATTTATCAATAATCGACTGTTTATAAAATTTCAGCTTACCTCAATATGCTTTTTTAAATTCGATGGAGAGTTTTTGAAAGCCATTAACTCGTGGTACTTTGGTGCGCAGAGCTTGCAGCGCATTCTAAAGTTGTTGTTTTTGCATCCAACCATTCCGAAAAATTCTTCCAGGTACGGCCAGGGATGTATAAAGTTTGGCTGGTCTTCCTGGCTACCAACTTGGTAACCAGGAAGACTGGTAGTACCAAGGTCAAGGAGACTTCCGAGGACAGAACTGACCTGTTGACCAGTTTGTCTAGTCTCTTCCTGTCTGCGGTACAGATACTGCTGCCCCAGCAGACCACTCCATGCAAGATGATAGTTTTGTAGAGACAGTTTGTGTGCCAAGACACAAAATTTATCCTGAAGTTTAGCTTTGTTCAGGGATTAGTTTTAGCTGTCAGAATGTAAGGAGTAGAAAGTACAGATAATAGCG